CTATTCCTTCAAGAAGTTCAGGATAGACTGATCATAACCTGTGATAAACAGTATATTAACTGGGGAAAGCACAGCTTCTTAGATTTACCCCATAAAATTAATGACTAAAAGAGAGGTTGAATCTGAATTTCCCTGGCACTCTGACCTACTGTACAACATCACACTGTTTCCATCCATTCTGTGAGACGCTCTTTGCATTCCCATTATCCTCAACCCATTTGCCAAATAACAGCAGGGTAAGTGTGCATGTCTCTAAAGACCTAAACTCTTAATGCAACTCTTGTCTTTACAGAAATTGTAGTGACCTCCAACTCTGAAAGCAAAACTAATATCTGCCATAATTGGCAGAAAGTGAGGTGAAAGGACCACTTTCATTTGGGGCTCTTAATCAGACTGCTACATTGTATGTTCCAAATTATAGCTCATTGTGCTACTCTCTGCATGTTATTTATTTCTTCAACACTACAGAAGTGCAGGACTTCTTCCTGGCATATAGTACTGACTCCTCCTCTGCTGGACACGCATTCAAATGAAGCCAATATGGTCTTCCAAGAATACTGTGACTTGATTTAAAATCATTTCACAATAAACATGTAGGTTAGGTTTGGAACTGCTGGAGGTCTATATCCAATGGTGCTGACTCTTCAATACCTCATAATCTAGTGGCCACAAGTAGGCAGTAGGGTGTAGATAGAAAATTCAGGATTTACTATGTCCCTTCTTTGTCTAGTACTCTGCCTGCTCTGTCTATGAGATTGTTAATTAAAGGTCACTTCCGTCTTTTTCTTCCCAGGCACACAATTTACAGAGCACATGCTCCTGGAATCTCCCCCTGGTAGGATGTAGCTAGCTAGATGCCAGGCTTTGCCCATCCCTGTACTTCCTGTGAATAAACCTCCTTCCTGTTATAGTTATAAAATCTACTTCACTAATCATTACTCAAACCATATTCCATTTCTTAGGAAAAAATGTGCACACACACCCACACCATAACAGAGTAACCTCCAATATGCTTAACTGGATTGTGCACAGAGTTGAGTTGTATGATCCTTTTAACCCAGGCAATTGTGTGATAATGGAGGGGCGGCAGTGTTAACCTCAATCAGCCCAGGTTTGTTTTGGGTTAACAGGCTTTTCCTTCACAATCTGTGTCATGCAAATGTCCTAACCCAGTCAAAAAGTGTGGCGTGTGGCCCAGCTTGCTCCAAGAAAAAGAAAAGTGTCTACAGAGCTGCTGGAAAAGCTAGATTCTCCATTGAAGAACTCACCCCTGGAGTCCTGGCATCACAACCACCAAGGACACCAAGAAGGAGGAAAGACCATCCATGGTGCCCCTCATGCTGAAACTCTGAAACCCTTTGCACACTTGTAAATGTAAATGTAAACAAACAGCGAGGCTCCTAACAATACTATCTGTGAGCCCTACTTGCACATTTGATATAGATGATGGAAGAGTGGGATGATGTTTGCTGCTCTCTTTTCTGTGGTCTGCCTATCCTGGTTGCTTATCCTGGATGCCTTAAGTTCCTGTCCCCTGCCGTCTTCCACTTCTGGGCCTCCACCAACCCCCTGTGGAGCTCCTTGTGATTAGGGACAGCTATTTCCTTCACTGTTGCTTTCCCCCCTCATTAAAGGCTTTGTTTTCCTTCCCAGGAGGATGGGAGTGCTTTTCTTCCCATGGGCCAATTTGGGGAAACTAGCCCACGGATCAGGGTGATGATGGAGACTTTTTGAGATTCGGTCTGGCAGGTTATATTCTGCCCTCTGTGGCTCTACGGCAGTGTTTTTCAAACTTGGCAACTTTAAGATGTATAGACTACAACTCCCCCAAATTCCCCCCCCCACCCAAGGGGGGGGGGGGGGGGG